GGTAGGGGATGGTGGTGAGGGGTAAATCCAGGCCACAGAAAGCCAGGGTCCCGGCCAGCAGCCCATGGGTGCACACTGCTCTTGGGCCTCGGACACTCACCGATGCCCAGATGGGTGTTGATGGAGGCATAGCGGGCAGTGCCAGTCAAGTTCTTGTTTTCCCGGTAGGGGATATGCTGGTGGGTGCGGGCGTCCCGGTATTTCTTGGCCAGGCCAAAGTCGATGATGTACACCAGGTTGCCCTTCTTCCCCAACCCCATGAGGAAGTTGTCGGGCTTGACGTCGCGGTGTATGAAGTTCTTGGAGTGGATGTACTCGATGCGGCTGATCTGGGGAGGGGACAGCAAATCATTCAGCAAGCGGTCCACGGAAGGGCCTTCACCAAGCACTCTGCGCCAGGCCCTGGATTGGGGGCGGAGGGCTGGGGTGGCAGGGACAGAAAACACATCCATGGTCCCTGCCCCGGGTAGGGGAGAAAGATCTGTCTGCAACTATGTAAGACGATTTCCAGGGGCAAGTCAGAGAAGGCTTCCTGGAGGAAGTGATACAGAAATTCTGAAAGAGGAGTTCACCGAGGTTGTTGTGAGATGGGGAAAGACAGCAAGATAGGAAACGAAACCTGGAAAGGCATCTGGGCCCCCATGGAAGCCTTTGCTGCCTGAAGCCAGAGTCAGAGAAGCATTTCGAAGGGTGTTCTGGCAACCAAATGACGGGGGAAGGGGGGAGAGGGAGAAGAGCCAATGAAGCCTCGACAATGGTGACAGAGATGGATTCTAAAAGACAGGATTTGTCCCCTAACTTAAAAAGGACACCCAAGTCAGGCGGACACACAGACTCTTCTCTTCCTTTAAACATCAGGTCAGAAAAGTAAGTTGACTTATACGCGTACGATACACCCTCTGGCTAGTCAGTCCCCTTTCTGGACCTCAGGCTTCTGAAAATCCACAGCTTCCCTTGGCATGGCTGAGTATTTCCTAAGCCTTTATTGAGTGTCACACCCCGTGAGAACCTGACGACTCTCCTCTGCACACACACATTTAGACCAAAATTGCAGGTGCCTGCAGACTTTCTGTAGGTCAGCCGCAGACCCTGACCCCTGCCTAATAAGAGGTCTGTGTATCATTCCGGGTCCAACATTCTACGCTTTTGAGGCACCTGGCTGGCTTACTCAGCAGAGTGTGCGACTCTTGATCTCAGCGTCGTGAGTTTGAGCCCCACGTTGGGCGCAGAGCTAATTTAAAAATAAAATAAGAGTCCAAAATTCTGTGCTTTTAGATTTTTAAAGAGTTTTCCTCCCCTGAGTTTAACAGGGCGTCAGGACCCAAGGACAGCTCATCAGTAGGCATCTGCTCTGGTCCAGGCACTGTGTGGAGTCCCATGTGACCCCACAACGAACAACCCAGCCAAGGGGAGACTCTCATCTGAGACGACTGAGGCTCCGAGAGGCTTAGCGGTCTCCTACAGTCACCACAGCGGGGCGGGACCCAGGTCTGTATGATCACTAGTTTTAGAATCACCCGAGAGCAGAGTCCTACCCCAAGAGCCCAACCCAGGATTTCTGGAGTGGGACCGGGAATCTACATTTAACCCCCTCCTCCATTCTATAGCCAATGGCCAAGGACCCCTGGTCCCGGTCCAGGAACCAAGCCTGTCCTATGGCCCTGTCACTGCCTCCCGCTGTGGCAGCCTCCAGAGGCAGCAGGCAGAGCCGGCACCCTGTGCCCAGTGGCACGGTGGGGACGCAGCGGTTGGGAGGGCAGCTGCAAGCCCAGCAGAGCCCACGGTCCCTGGCTTGGGAGGGGAGGTGGGGGCTCACCATCTGGTCGGCCAGGAGCAGCACCGTCTTGAGGCTGAACTTGCGGGAGCAGAAGTTGAAGAGGTCCTCCAGGCTGGGCCCCAGCAGCTCCATGACCATCACGTTGTAGTCACCTTCGGCTCCGCACCACTTGATGGACGGGATTC